CATTGTTTTCATGGCTCTATTTCAAGTGGGTGACCTCTGTGATACAGTTAACTTATTTTTGGGTCTAACATGCCAAATTCCTTCAGGTAAATTTTTTCCTTGACATTATTTCCTAAGGGCAAATTCCCAGAAGTGGGGATGTCATTACCATTCTTGTCAACACACACTGTGCCCATTTGCTTTCTACAAGTCACACTGACTTTGGTGGCCCAGGAGACTATAGGTGTTGCTTTGCAATTTTTGTGAAATTGTTGAAAAGTCATTTGCTATGTGAAACTAGTAGCTTGTAAGTTTAGCTTGCATTTTTGATTATTGAGGTTATTTTTCTATATATGTATTTACTACTTTTCATTTTTTTAAGGACAGCATTATTAAGATATAGTTCACATATCGTATAGTTCATCCATCTAAATCGTACAGCTTAATTTGAGGTTTTTCTTCCTTCCTCCCTCCTTCCTTCCTTCTTTCTTTCTTTCTTTTTGTCTTTCCTTTCCTTTCTTGGTGGGGTCTCACTTTGTTGCCCAGGCTGGCCTCCAACTTCTGAGCGCAGTGATCCTCTGAGCAGGTGTATGTCATTATGCCTGGCTCTCAGTGGTTTTTAATATATTTACAGAGTTGCGTAAGTGTCACCAGTATTTAATTCCAGAACATTTTCATCACTCCAAAAAGAAACCTTGTACTCATTAGCGGTTGCTCCCTATTTACGTCCAGTCTCTCCAGCCCTGCACAGTTACTAATCTACTTTGTGCTTTATAGACACACAATCTGGATATGTCGTGTAAGCGAATCACACAAGATGTGATTTTTTATGACTGACTTCTTTGGCTCAGCATAATGTTCTTAAGATTCACCCATGTGGTAGCATGCGCCAGGATAAGTAATCCATTATATAGATATGCTACATTGTGTTTGTTTATTCACACTGGGTACACATTTGGATTGTTTTCACTGTGGGCTATTATAAATAATGTTATCATACATTCATATACAAGTTCTTGTGCAGATAAATTTTCATCTTTCTTGGGTATATCCCTAGGAGTGGAATTTGCTGGTCATATGATAACTTATGTTTAACTTTGATATATTCTTTTTTGTCTCATACTTTGTGTCCAGTTTTTGGAAGTAGTGTTTGTCTTACAGTTTGAATAAACTATATCATAGATATGTTAATCCCTTATTGTATTTGCTCTGAATATTTTCCCATTCAGTAATTTTTCATTTTTAAGTTGCTCATAAATTTTGAATCTTTATACAGTTGAAGCTGATTATCTTTTTTTAAATTATTATATTGGGGGTACATTGTGACATTTACCAAAGTTCTTGCAATATATCGTAGTTAAATTCACCCCTTCCACCATTCTCCTCTATCTCACCTTCCCCCATTCCTAGAACAGTTTCAGCAGATTTCATTTTTCCATTTTCATACATGTGTACACAATCTTGGCACCATATTCACCTTCCTACACCCTTTCCCTACATCCTTCTCCCTCCCATTGGTACCAACCCTGATTTCCTTATTACATTTTATTTTATTATTCTTAAGACTTGAATATTGGGATAAACCCCCTCTAGGATTTGAAAACTCATAATGTGTTTATCAAGATTGACCCCACCATAAATTGAGGAGCATCTGTAAAAAGGATTATGTACCATGACCAAGAGACTCATTTCAGGAATAAAAGGTGATTTAAAATCTGAAAATCAATTAATGTAATGCAGTAGACTAGTATATAAAGAAACCATAGGATTGCTCATCTATTTTTTTGTGTGTACATGTGTGGTACCGGGGTTTGAACTCTGGGCCTCATACTTGCTAGGGAGGTACTCTCCACTTGAACTATTCCACCAGCTCAGGATTGATCATCTTAGTAGATGCAGTGTTTGATCAAATCCAACACTCTTTCATGATTAAAAAAAAAAAAACTCATAAGAAAGTATCACATGTAAGTAAATGTAGAAATGATAAAAGGAGAAAAAAATAAAATATCATAATGAAGTCTATTATTTTGTACAACTAATATATGCTATTTAAAAAGCACTCAACATACTAGAAATAGAAGGAAACTTCCTCAACCAGATACAGGGTGTTTATGAAAAACCCACATGAAACAACATAGTTCATGGTGAAAGATGGGGTGCCTTCCCTCCAAGATCAGAAACAAGACAAGGATTTCTTGTGACTTCTATTCACTATTATAGTAGGCATTCTGACCTGTGCAATTAGGCACAAAAAAAGAAATAAAAGCCACCCAGATTGGAAAGGGAAAAGTAAAACTCTATTTCCAGATAACCTGGCTTTTTAATATATAAAATTCTAGGGAATCCACACATGAAAAACTGTTAGAATAAAAAGGTTCAATAAGATTATAAAACATCAAGGTCATGATATAAAAATCATTTGTAGGGATGGAGGCATGGCTCAAGTGGAAAAGCATCTGCAAGGCCCTAGTGTATTTCTATAAACTAGCAATGACTAATCCAAAAACAAAATTAAGAAAACAGTTCACTTTTATTAGTATCAAAAGAATAAAATGGATAGGAATAAATTTAACCAAAATGTGTACACTAAAAACTGCAAAAGATTGTTATAAGAAATTAAGGAACATCTAGATAAATAAAAGATACCTCATGTTCATGGATTGAAATACTTAATTTAAAAAAATGGCCTAAACCCTGTAAAAATGTGAGCTGCTCTTTTTGCAAATATTGACAAACTGGTTCAGAAATTTGTGCGAAAATTCAAATGGCCCAGAATAGCCAAAAACAATCTTGAAATAGAAAGACTGAGGTTGAAGGACTCACACTTCTCAACCTCTAAAGCCAAAAACAATCTTGAAATAGAAAGACTGAGGTTGAAGGACTCACACTTCTCAACCTCTAAACTTGCCACAAAGCTGCAATTGTCACGATACCACCCAGGCCAGGCTGGGGATAGCGCCTCAGTGGTACGGCACCAAGGCCTAGAGTTCAGTCCTCAGCATCACATACACACACACACACACACACACACACACACACACACACACACACAGACACAAAAGGACGCACAATTTGTATTCTTGAAAAAGAAAACAAAACAATAGCTACATATCATATATGTATATATCATACAGATTTGCATGGCAATATAAAAGTAGTAAGATAACATAGCTGGGAAGCTTAAATATAAAATATTAATATACTAAAAATGGAGGGCTGAAAGAGAATGCAAAGTAGAAAGTATGAATCCCTTCATTTTTCCCCATCTCCTATATGAGGTGCCAGTACATAATGTACAAAGTTGAAATATGGAGATAAAAATAATAATCTACTTTCTTGTTACTATATAAAAACTCACATATGTACACATAATAGACAGAATGTATATTTTTAACTTTGGAGGAACTTTTAATGAACTATGTGGATAAAACCATTTTTCTAAATTGAATGATTACTTTGGTTCCACTTTAGTTTCGTCAAATTTCATTAAATTAAATGTAATGGTTTAAATTTAAGGCTAGCAAATATAACATGACCTCATTTTTTGGTAAAATGGTCATTATCTTTCCCTGCTGATATAATTACGTACACAAAGATACTTGTCTTGTTCCACATGTGTTAACTGTGGTTATTTCTATGTGGTAGGATTTTGAGATAGCTTTTAATTTTCTTTCTGCTGTATTGAATTGTTTTTTGCTTTAAAATAGTCATGACATTTCACAATTAAAAGCTCTGCTCAGAAGCAAGCGAAGGGTAATTTTGGATAGTTTCAGGACCTTCAAGTGGTGTGGCTGGCTGCGTGAGGCTGGAGTTCGGAGAGAAGGTCTGGATAGCGACGAGACTTGGGGTTGGCAGCATGTTGGTGATTGCTGACGCTCACAAGAATGGGTGAGGTTATCTCAAGATGGACTCAAGAGAAGAAAGTAGCCAGGATGGCAGTGATCTGGGCATCTCCAACACCCAGTGCTCATATGGAGAACCCTGCAGTAGAGTGGAGATGAGGGTCCCAGAGGGAGGAACACCCCTGAGCTGGGGACCAGGGGTGGAAAGGCACTAGGGCTTTTGATACGACGCGGGGTCATAGTGCAAATGTCAAAGTTGCCTGAACCCTAAGTGATGGGTTCATTGTGTACCTTCTACTTTTCTTTTCCCCAAAGCTCACAGGTTAGAAAACCAGCAATTGCTTCAACTCTGGAGAATAATTTCCAGACCTTTCGGATATTTGGGCTTTGCCTAAAAACTAGGTATTTTAAAGAGCTTCTGGCTTCCAGCAAATGTGGGCAGCGTGTTCGACAATGTTTAAATATGCCACAAGTAGGTTTCTCTTTAAGAAAGGCTTTGTCTTATAGTTTAAAGTGAGTAGCTGATACGCGTTGACACGTCACTGTAAGAAACTCAACTTTCAAGTCTTTCCCTGGTTAGTTGCCCATCTTTCTTGTAAGACTAAAGATTTAAACCTTTTTAGACCTGGTTATCTGTTGACAAAAGGCTAAGTTTGAGGAGAGAGAGAGGATAGGTTGTTTTCTCAGCTCGCTCCTGGAGGATAGATGACTACTGTTTAACCCACCATTGCCTTATGGCTAATTCCAGCCCGGGATCCTGCTTGTCAGCTCTCAGAAGCCCTCAGGCTCACATGGAGCTAGAGCCTCCATTGACCTGTGGTCATCTAAACTATTGGTGGATGACTTTCTGCCTTTTGCTGAGACCTGCTTCCCAGCCTTCCTGTCAACATCCTGGCACTCAGTAGAGCACCCCCTTCTAACACTTCTGGTACCATCCTTTCAGCAGCGCCCCTTGTTCTTCAGTTCTCAGAGTCAGCAGGACTGTGTGTGGTGTTGCATGCCCAATAGCGGTCATTTCCTGTGCTCGCCCACTCCTTGCATTTGGGCACCTGCCCCAGGTGCTGACCTTTGCAAAAGGAAGTCAATTTTTCAAGCCTCGCAGTGCATTTGGAGCTAGTGTTCGAAAGAAGCAGGCATGGATGTGCATCTGATTAGTTTTCCGGTTTTCTCCCCTTCTAGGTAATACTTTCTAATATTCAGAACAGAAGCCCCAAGCCTGGCCCTGCTCCCCACGATCAAGAACTAGGTTTTTTCCTAGAAACAGGACTTCAGAGAGCCCATGTCCTCTATTTCAAAAATGGGTAAGCTTTCTTCATTTTTCAATCCATTTCCTAAAGAAGGAAAATAGAAAACCTCCTAATGCTACTCTAGTTTACTGTAAAGCAATTTTAAATATAAACAGAATTGGAATTTTTTTAAAGGATGAGCATTGGCTCTTTTTGTCTCCTCTCCACCTGGCTCTCTTACTTTTCTATGAGATTTGAAGATGGGAGGAAGGAGGGAGGAGGGCATCTGGGTGAGTATGAGCCCCAAGTGGGGAGCCTCAAGACCAGGCAGGTGAGTCTGGTGGGACTATGCTTTGGGTGCCATTCTTCCATGTTAATGGCACCACTCTCCACTTTGTCAAGAAAAACTCAATGAACTGGAAACCCTGGCACAGAAAGGCCTTTCAATGGCTGATCAGTTCTGAGAACTGGGTTTGCCAAATCCTAGGGTTTTTGTGAATATGAGTGTGGCTGGAAGAAAATTTTCAACTCAAGCTGCATTTGAAAAAGGTTGAAGGAGGGTTGGAGAGCCATGGATGGAAGGGGCAATTTTCCAATGCACTGACGTTTTTCTTTTGTGTCACTTTTGTGAGAAATGTGCTGATTCTGTTCCACATCTCTTCAGTTGTCCCTTGTTTTGACATTGTGCTGCGGGATAGATGTGCGTGAAGACCAATAGTAGGTATCTGCTTCCTCTGTAGCTCCTCCTAGGCTTTACATGGGGGGCCCTCTAGAGGCCTGTCCCCTTCCTCTAGGAGCAGTAGTCCAGTAGTGCTGTGAACAGCAGCAGGGATACAAGTCTCAGCCACTGGGAAAATGAACAGTGGAACTGCTTCCTTTTCATTTTTAGGAGCTTCAAACCTTGGGGCGTAGCTCGCGGAAGTGGGATTTCATTTGCCTGGTGGCCCAGCACTACATGCATCTCTTTTGCATTTGTGGGAATAAATGCTTGTGTTCCAAATCCCATTAAACATTTGGGAGAAAAAGCCCACTTTGCTCCAAAGGCCACTGGCTCCACTCAGCCCAACATGAGCCACAAAAGGCCTCAATAAACACCCCAAGGTTTGGAGTGGCTTGGTGGCTTTGGCACAAAGATACCCTGGAGTCTGATCTCATCTGCTGCTGACTGAGATCATTTGAGTGATGGTGCACATCTCCTAGGCTGTGATTCTGTTTTCTCTGCTGTTGTAAATAGAGGGAGAGGGAGGCAATGTGGAACATCATCTGTTTCTTCTTCCTTTTCATAATAAATGGTTGTCATCTCAGAGGAGCCTCTAACCCTTTCTCTCCTTCCCTCTAACCTGTGAGGAAGTTTGACATGGAATCCAGAGACAGGAATCAATTCCCTTAGGGCCTCCAGGGAGCCAAACCAATGCCTTCTATTGGAAATGCTTTCTGTGAGATTGATCCAGTGGGCTGGCTAACTTATTTTTATCTCTGAAGCCTGTTCCTTGAGGAGGAGGAAGTGGCACTGTGGGGCTCTGACCTCATCCCCTGTGATGCTGGCTGCCCACTGGATCCAACTGAAATATAATAATGAGAGGTTTGCTCTAGATGATGGCTTACATGCCATGGATTGCTTTCTGACTCATCTCTCATGTTGTTTCATTTTACCCAAGTTCAAGAAAGTGCCTTTCTCTTCTTTCCTTGTCCTCTCACTCTTCACTCTGTGCTGTAAACACCAGGTACTCACGAAGACTCCTGCAGCTACAGTGTTCTTAAGTCTAGGTTGAGCAGCAGTAGCAAGAGCTTACTCGGTGGGTAGAGGTGAGGATCAGTGTTGAAGCCTCAAAATGTAGATGGAGGAGAGAAACCAGTGAGGTGTTGGATATTCCAAGTGCCGTCAGGCTGCCTGACTCACCTTAGTGCGTTTCTCAGGGCCTGAGAGCCACTCCAAGGATGATTCATCACTGGACAGCACCAGCAGAATGGAGGGAGCTGCTGTCCTCAAGCTCTATGGCTTCCCACATTTATGTCCTACAATGTGTTTGTAACTTACTGTCTCACTCCTTGCTTTTTCTTCTGTACTTTTTCTGTATGTGTTGTGAGGATGTAGTGGGCAGAATTGGCTGATTTTCAGTGGTAGGAAAATGCAATATAGAAGAGTTCGGCAATAAGAGGCAGAAATAGGTAAAACACATCACATTTCTTTAGAAACACTTAAATATATCTTAGCTTTGGGGTTGTTATTCTTAAGGACTTAATGAATTATATTCAATATTATTCTTTGATAAGTATCCTATCTTTTTCAGGAGTGACTTTGAGCATCTTTCAGAATACCTGAGTCCAGGACCTGTTCCTGGGCTTCTGATGCCTTAGATGTCAATGTCTACCAAGTGAGCTTTCGTCTCATGATCACTGATCCTCAAAGCATTGTCTCACTCATCTCCACTGCTATCCATAAATTGGCAGTATCAGTAGTATTGCCCCAGTTTTACAGAGGAGTCCAAACTCAGGTGATTTGACTGGGACAGGTCATATAGTGGCCTGTGTTGCAAGTTTCTGGTGGCAGTCTTTTCCCCACTATACCCCTAAGGGGGATGCTGCCACTCTGTGTGAAGGACTTTGTCTGCTACCTTGCCTCTCTGTTGGGGAGCATTTGACCCCCCAGGATGGGATGTTGCCAGCAGATGGTTCCTATCCTCCCCTGGTTTTGTCATTTCTCTTCAGGCTTTTCCTCAAACCTTGTCTGCAACACTTCACAAAACATTTCTTTTCTTCTCTCCCCTCTTCTTGTTCTCCTCATCCTGTGCCCACTTCTTCCCTTTCCTTTATTTCCCTCTCTTTCTTTCTTTCCCTTCCCTCCCCTTGCTTTCCTCACTCTCCAACATCCTGATTGCCATACAGACCTATACCATCCTTGGCCTCCCAGCCCTAAGACTCCCTGGGCATGGTATGAATTGGTGTGTACCCTTCTGTCTTTCATATACATATCTTTTATCCCTTGGGGTGGCAGCAGAAAACATGTTAATGATGAAAAAAAATTGTGAAGCCTCCCCAGAGAGAGAGAAATCAGAGAGCTTGTCACCCCAGAGGGCCAGGACCTGCCTCCAGGGGTCTTGGAATTGCCTCTCTACAGCAGACATTTGTATGACAGACAGCAAAGGCTCTTGGGCCAGACCTGAACTGGGAACTAACCTGTTTACTTACTGGGCCTCAGTTTCTTTATCTGTGAGATAGGGTTACTACCACTTTCTCACAGAGCTGCAGGGAGTAGCAAATAAGAAAATGCCTGTGGGAGACTTCATGAAGCATCAGGCAAATAGCAAGTGGTAAATTGTAACTTCCAATGATTGTGGTACCCAGCTGATTTTATCAGTTGAAAGTGGGACCAGATTAAGGGGTAGCAGTAGACACAGATGGGCTTTCACAGTGGCATTGTGGGAGGCCATCATGCGTGGGAGCTGACAAGGAAGTTAGGTTCATTCTCAGCCCCTTAGTCTCCCCAGGCACGGGAATAACTGGGCCTTTGCATTCTAGCATTCAGGTCACCTTCCTCTCGAAGTCCAGTTGAAGTGGAAGTTCACAGAGAAGTAAGTGTCATTCATTTTATTGCTAGGTCTCTGAGGCCATGATTTGGAGATAGGGTCTTCATTTATAATAACTGGTGGTTTAAGTAAACTCTGCTGCAGGTGTGGAACCATGAGCTTGGTGGCCCTGCCAGTTTTTCTGAGAAAGTAGGTGGGGGGAGCAAAGTTTTGATTGAGCAAAACAGGAGTATAGTGTGTGCTTCCCCAGCCTCTGGACTGTTTCATTCAGGAAGGATGGGGATAAATTGAGGTGAGAAGGCAAATGGTGGTCAACACCTGGAGAGGTTCCTGCCTGTGGGGTTGTACCATTTGCTGGGGCATGTCACTGAGTTCTGCATGGGAAGCTTTAACTCAAACAAAGCAGCCGCTTAGGCACAAATAGGTGGATTTGGGGGCTCTCCTGAGGTGCTTTTAGCCATGCCAGGGAATACAGTGGTATAAAGGGACTTTGGAGTTCTGGCTTTATGGCCAAATAGACTGCTAATCACCACTATGTATGAACTTTGAAAAGTTTAATCTTGTTGACCTTTGCAACTGCTCACCTCAGCTCACTGTAGCCTAGACTTAGAAGGCAGAAAAAGGGACCACTAGGCCCTGCTGTGTCCTATGGGCTGTGGAAAAATGGGTGCTTTCTGGAATTTTCACTTCAGGAACAGCAGTGGACACAGATGGACTCTCATAGCCCATGGGATCATGGGAGGCCACCGTGGGGAGGGAGATGACCAGGAAGCTAGGCTTATGCTTCCCAGGCACTGGAAAATCCATCCTTTGCCGCTTAGCATTCAAGCCATCATCTTTTTGCAGCAGAAAGAAGTGTTCACATCTTAAACTGCACACAACTCTTGACATAATGAATCAGGTCAGTGAAGGAGAGAGAACTCAGATGTGTTTCTCACCAAAGGAAGTGGATAAACATTTAATAGCTATCAACTGTTTGCTCATGATACTCTTCAGGTATCATGAACAGAGATGAGAAAGAAGTGGGAAATAGTTTTTCCCAAGAAGAAAAAAGGCACGTCATGAACATTTAATAAAGAAAGAACACCTAAGCACTTTAAATGAGCTGATGTCTCCAGGCCCATGGAAACTTCAGTAAGGTCATTTGTTCTTTCATTTAATGAGGGTTAATTGTGCAGGCCCTATGTTAGGTCGGGTTGGGGGTGGTGCGGGGGAGAGGAAAAGAAGGACAAAGATCCTACCCTTCTAGAATCCACGGAGAATTGAGGATTAGACCATGCAGTTTCAGGACAGTTTATTCTTGTTGTGACAGAGGGAGCCAGGTTGCCACAAAAGCAAATAAGAGGCGGCTATGCAGGGATGGCCTCATGATTTGGAAAATGAAGTAATGATCTGAAGAAGTGTGCTTGAAGTGGTGCTCCAAGTGGTTGGTAGAGGTATGAAGGTAGAGCTGACCTTGGGATTGTGTGTGTTCTGCAGGGTACATAGAGACAAGACTGGCTAGAGTGAGGCTTAGGTAGAATCTGGAAATCTGGAGGTTTCTATCTA